TGCTGCAAGCGCACGATGCCCCTCCTGTCCCGTCCAACCGCGCCACAGCACCGCTTGCGCAACGGCCCGCAACAGGGCAGCCACATCCGCGAGCCATACTTCAGTCATGTAAACATTCCCGCTCCACCCCCTTTCACGCGTCAGGACAGTGATCCAGCTCGGCCACGACCACTCCGCTCTCCTCAAGGACATGATGATCGCTCCCGCAGGGCCTTTCACGCGACTCCACTGCGGCTGCATGCCCGCCAGGATCTGATGCCTCTGCTAAGCTTCCTGCCACTGCCGCCGCAGCGCCTCCTTCTCGTTTGCCGCCCCGCTGACGATCGCTGACCTCGGCCTCGCTGAGACCGCGCTGGCTGCTGACCGCCGCGATGCGCTGGAGGAAACTCACCGCGTCACCGTCGTCGTCGCGCTCCCAGTCGCAGTCCTGAAGCCCCGATCCGGGCTCTTCATCCTGCGCTGGCGGTGGTACCGAGTCCTCGAGCAGCTGCCTGGGCCGTCGGCGCAAGCCGCGTTGCTCGCGCCAGTAATGCTCTATCTTGTCGGTGCGCTCATCGTCGTCCAAGCCGTCGAGTTGGCGCAGCCATGCCAGCCTTCGTCGTCCCGAACGTGTTCACGCCTCTCTGCGCAGCGCCACAGCGACCTGGTGCATCATCATGCGCCGCCAATCCAGAAAACCATAGTGCACACGAAAACGCCAGCGCAGCGCTTCTTGCAGAGGCGGTCGCGTCGGCTGAGACAGATGCTGCACCACAAAAGAACGCGCCGTTCGAGCCAGGCACCGATGCTCTGAAAATCACAACCACGCAGATCCACGAATCAAAGCGACGACCGAAGGCACAAGGCCTGTGCTGATCTGGCGAGAGGGGGCCACATGCTGCGCCATCGAGCTCGCCGCCGCGTCGTGAGCCGCGGCGCGCCCCTGCTCGTCCGCCACCGCGATCTCCCACGCAGCGCGGGCCAACCGCCGGACGGGGCCTCCGTGGCCTCGATTGTGTGTTCTTCCTGCGTCAGGGCAGGCCGCGAGGTCAATCGCCTTGCCCACCGCGACCATAGCAATATCTTCCCAGCCGCGCGCCGTAGATGCTGGAGCTGATGATCTGGCATGCCCAGGCGCTTGCATCCATGCAGCACCGAACGCTTGAGTCCACGCTTGTAGACCCGCCCTGCGCCTCTCGACATAATCATTCCACCTCGGCGCAGGTTGAGGAGCCCTTTGGTTCGCTTCCTCATCTTTTTGAAACGCTTGCCACTCTTAGCCTTGCTTGCCCTGCCCGTCGCAACCATGTCCACCCCGAGGTGGGGGCGCGCGCGTAGCACAGACAAACCCCGCTCGCCCATGCCGGCGCGCACGGCCTCGCGCAGCCACTTGGCGCTGGCCATGACCGCACCTTTGCCCTGCGCAACCGCCGAGAACTCCAGGCCAAAGCCCGCGAAACCGCCCACGCTGTCGTCAACGATATCAGGGAACACGTCCGCCACCCACTGCTGCGCCCCCCGCTGCTGGATACACAGATCGTCAACATACACGCGCCACGTGGCCAGCAAGTGCTCCACCACCAGCGTGCCAACCGCGCCCTGGAGGACCATCTTCGGGAAACCGACAGAGAACTTACTGCCCGCGACAATGACCAGCACCGTGGACGTCTCCGTAGACGCCGACTCCCCCGCTACAGTGCGCCTGGACATCGCGATTTAGGAACACACCACCGCCAAGACCCCCGCGTGGAACTTCACGCGCTTGCCCCGCTCCCACAGAACGCGAAAAAAAGACGCGCTCGAAAACCTCGACCAAATCCAAGATGGCTGTCATCATGGCCATGACCGCGGGGCCCACCCCTCCTGGATCATCGGCCTCACTAGCCAACAACACTTCCCAAGCCGCGTCCTCCGCCGCCCTGCCGCGGGACGTGCAGTCCCACGAGCGCTGGTTTGCCTTGGCCCATGCCTGGAGGCACGTCTCCCGCATGATTCCCCGCACACGGACCAATGTGGGCAGCAGGCATGTCGCCCGGTCGGCCCCCAAACTCTTCGAAATCAGGAAGAAGATGACCGTGGCCGCGTGCTTCGGCCACACCAGCGTACGCTCCACCTCCCTCAACATGTCCAGCGAACCCCAGCACGCAGAGTCCGACCCCCCCTGCAACAAAAACGGATGCCAGCGACCCACGCTTATCCCAATCTTCTTCTTGAAGGGCCTGGCCACGTTCTTCAGCCTGTCGAGCTCCGCCTCCTGGAAGTCGTCCAGCTCCATGCGGGCCTCGCAGTCCCACAGCCGAGGAGCTTGCTGGATCGGGTCATCCACGCGCCACACATGCTTCCATTCACCAGGCGCTGCCTCAGCAGCCTGAAGTGGATCTGCACATGCCAGAACTGTGGCTGCACGCCGCGGGCGCCAAATCTCCACAGGTTTGCTCAGCCTGTGGAGCCTTCCAGCTGCACCTGAAGCCGCCGCCTCCAGCTTGTCCGCCCACGTCTGTCGTCTCTCCTTGACCAGGTCCTTGTTGTAGCGCTAGGAGCGTGCCTGCGCCTCGTCGACCAGCTGTTGGACATCCTTGTGCAGGGCTCGCTTGCGCCAAACCCCCTCTGCGCCACAGCTTGGCACCGCTCGTCCCGACCTTGCGATCCACATTGCCGAGGACCTTCCTGCTCGAGGTCTGGGCCTCGAACTTCCGCTCCAAGGCGAAGACATTGTTTGTATCTCCGGACCTGGGGCGCTGCGCGCTTCGACTCCCAGCAAAAAACCGGCCGCAAACCCCCGCCAGGTTGTGCAGGGAGCGCGCCAGCCATCGCCACCATAGGGCCGCCAGCTGTGGCTTGGATTGGTTGGACCGCCCTCGGGTAACCCCCTTTTCCAATCTCCACTGCGGCAACTCAGCACGTCTTCCCTGCACGCGTGAATCACTCCAATCTCCACTGCGGTAACTCAGCACGTCCTCCCTGCACACGTGAATCACTCCAGCCTATCCCGCGTAGACCAAACGCCTCCTGCTCTGGGGTTCGCATATATTGGCTCCACTCCTGAGTAGCCGCTTCCTGCGTAACGAACTCTCCCACCGATGCGTAAATTGGCGGCGCTGGCGCACACCTAATCGGCAGTCCCGAGGAATTATCTCCTACTCGTTCTCATTTGTTATCATTTTCTCCCCCCCTCCTCCTCCTCCTCCTCCTCCTCCTCCTCCTCCTCCTCCTCCTCCTCCTCCTCCTCCTCCTCCTCCTCCTCCTCCTCCTCCCTACCGCGCGGACGAAGGCGATGTCGGGATCACGCCCCTCCTCAGTTGAGACCACTCGCTGAACTGCCGCGGGGTGTGAACTCGACCTCCTTCCTAACGCGCGGACGAAGACGAGGTCTAATTGACGACCCGTCCTTATCAGACCACTCGTCGAAATTGCGCCGTTCCTACACTCAGTCTCCTTCCTGCAGCGCTGTTGCACAGGCACGATGGGAGGTTTGCCGCAAGCAATTGGATCACTATTCATGTTCAATATGTTGCTCACGATATCGCCGGGGAGGTACTGCTTGCTTCTTTAGATTGTTCAACCGACGCCGAGATCGTTTCATATCATTTCCTTAGCGGTCGTTACGCGGGAAGTGCGAGGGAGGGCGGACACGGGGTAACGGTAACGCCTGGGCGGGGTGGCACACGTTGGAGCAGGGAGCGCTGCGATCGTCACAGTATGCGCGCGAACGCCAGCTTGTGGGAGTGGAGTACTCCCCCACCCTACGTACGATCGCTACCATGACACAGGGGCGGGCGAGGTAGCGACGGTTACGCGCCAGAGGTTTAGAGGAAAGAAAATTACCCCGTCAGGGCACGACTTGTGTCCATACCCACTGTCCAGACCCCGAGACGCACTGGACATGGGTAACAATCAAGCCCCTAGAGTCGTTTTTATGCATATCCAGTGCGCCTCGACCTTGCGGCGCCCCTTCCAAGGAAGTCCAAGACGCACTGGCTATGGATTAATGTATCTATATATATATATATATATACAAAGTCAACCCGTTAAGTAAGGATGCGCGGTAAGAGTGCAATGGCCTTGGATAGCTATTTTAACTTTTTCCGAATGGGGCTGGCCAGCGAAAGTCGCTGAGGATGGGCCAGATGGGCAGGGGTAACCTTGGGAATTGTTTCATCCTTACTATGCGGGTTGACATTTTCTAGAGGATTCCCAGATGGGGTCCAAGTGGATGGGTTCGGAGGATGGCGCAGCATCGCACTGCATCGACGATGCATCGGCGATGCAACGTCGATATCGGCGATGCATCGGTGACGTCGGCGTGGAGAAATTCGGGCTGCCCATCGAGCCGCATTGCTGATGCATCGGCGATGCGACACGATCCTCCGACCCCATCTGTTCGGAATCCATCTAGGAGGCCTGGAGTGCAGTCGACCCGTATCAGAAGGATGCGCGATGAGGATGCAAGGGTCTGTCCCTACTATACGGGTTGACTGTATTGCCCGCGCCCCGTTTCTACGCTTAGGTTGGGCGTGTCCCCATACAGCGGGATTTGGGGCGAAAGCTTAAACATATCATATAAACAAATACTCCCAAATAGTCAAACACACACACACATATATATATATATATATATATATATACATACACATAAGTCCCCAGACTGTTTGACTACTTATGAGTATTTCTCCTGTAGAGGGAGGGGCCCGACTTAAATCTGCGAGTCGCACCCCAGAAGAACCCAGACCGCGAGGGGCATGGCCGCCGCTCCCGGCGTGCACCCCCCCCCTCCTCCTCCTCCTCCTCCTCCTCCTCCTCCTCCTCCTCCTCCTCCTCCTTCTCCAGCTCCTCATCCTCATCCTCATCCTCATCATCATCATCCTCCTCCTCCTCCTCCCTCCTCCTCCCTCCTCCTCCTCTTCCTCCTCCCTCCTCCTCCCTTCTCCTCCTCCTCCCTCCTCCTCCTCCTCCTCCTCCTCCTCCTCCTCCTCCTCCTCCTCCTCCTCCTCCTCCTCCACTCCCGCCGCAAGCCCCGTGTCCTCGGCCTCGCCGTAGCCCTCCCGCCGTCGGAGCACCGGGACGCCGCCGAGGCGCATGGGCAGGTACCTCGGAGGCCCCCAAGATTCGGGCGTTGGCAGAACTGGGTTTAGTGGGACCTGGGTTAGTGATGTGTACTGGGGGGCGCCCCCCAGGCCCCGTTCCACTAACCGGAACTGCTGTCACCCGAAAGACACCAGCTGCGGCAAACCTGGTTTAGTGGTTCTGGCCAATTTAGGGGCTCCGGGGCCCTACCACTCACCGGGTCGCCTCACCTGGGGTACTGGCTATACCCGAAAGATGGGGGCCCAGCAGTGCGGGCCCCAAAAATAGATCGGGTGTTGCTAGAGGGGCCCCTGGCCCAGCAGTGCCCCCAGGATGTCCAAGGAGGCCCCCACGGCCTCCAGAGCACCCCTCACGAGGCCCAGGGGTCCCCGGGGACTCCAAAAGTTGAGCGGCAAGCTGGGGGCGCCGTGGGCAGGAGGCACCTCGAGCAAGCTCGAATAAATCGGGGAGATGTGAGACTCGGGTTCGGGGACCCGGGTTGGCCTGACGGGCCATCATGAAAAAGACGAAACCCAGCCTGAAATCTGGCGCGAGCTCCCGCTGCAAACATCCTACGAAAACTGGACCGTCAAGATCCAGGACCCGCTCGTCGGAAAACGCCGGCTAAACCGAGCTCCGGCGCACTCGAGTCTTATACTTTCCCCCGAATATAGGACACCACCCTCCTCTTCCTCTCCTCTGCTCTGGGAGAAGGACGGAATGAGGGAGGTCGTGCCAGTATTTTGGCCCCGTAATTACAGACGGGGTCGGAGGGTCGTGCCTCATCGCCTATGCATCGCGATGCATGGGCGACGTCGGCGATGCAGCGGCGCCGTCGGCGTGGAGAGAACCAGGCCGCACCTCGAGCCGCATCGACGGTGCTTCGGCGCTGCGGCGCGAGCCTCGCTGCCCCCGCCCTCATCGATCCCGTTTTTGAGGGGCCCGGGATGCTTGCCGCGCGCCTGCAGCCACGCGCCGTCTGGGGTGGGGCTGCCCTCCACAAGGTCGCCCCACAGGACCGTCTCGCCCTTGGCCTTCAAATGGGGCCCAGGGACGCACAAATCAATAGGCACAAATGCCAGGATCCCCAGTCTGTGTGTGTGTGTGTTTTTGTTTGTTTCTCTCTCTCTCTCTCTCTCTCTCTCTCTCTCATATATATATATATATATATATATATATTGTCTCGATGTGCGTCTTCCCTCCACACACTTCCCCATGTTCCCACCTATACTCCTGGGAATCGACCACCAGTCGTGCCTGCGTGTGCTTCCCCCTTCAGGGCCTTGTCGTCCAGGCTCGGGCTGCTGCGGAAGGCCAGGCCCGCCGAGACGTCCTGCAGTCGGCTGTTGTCGGCCTCCCAGAGCGTCTGGGGCAGCAGCACGCTAGCCCCGTCGAGCCGCACGGGCAGGAAGCGCTCGCCGACGCGCACCCACTCCCCTTCCTCTGTGAGCACACCGCTGACGATGTCTCCCCAGTTGGCCCACTCGCCCTCAATCCTGTCGTTTTCCTGGGGCGTGCGCCTGTATGCCAGGCCCAGGGTGGCCGCGTTCAGCTCCGAGTCGTCGACCAGCCAGCGTACCTCCGTTGGGGGACGGCCGCCGGTGGTCGTGCCCTCGAGCAGCGTCGCAGTCTGCGTTGTCGAACTTGTCTCGAGCCCTTTCGCCTCATCCACGCACTTGAAGTAGCTGTCGACGTCTTTGAACGGGTGGAAAGCCACCTTCCCAGATATGCAGCCCTTTGAAAGGTCCTCGTCGCATGCCGTCTCGCTGAGCAGCTCCCAGTCGTTCACCTTGACAACGCCCAAGAAATCCAAGCACTGCCTCACGAAGACGTCCTCGCCCCACAACTCCTCGTCCGTCACGCCCGAATCACGACAGCGCTGGATTCCACTCTGGAATGCAGTCATTGCTCCTCGAGACAGCACTTCCAGAGGGCCGTGCATATCATCAATCTTACAATTGTTGAAATACGATATTCGAGGATACGGAGATCCAACCCGCAAGCGCGCCCGCATTCGGTCGGCGAAGAACACCGTGTCGGCATCCAGCTTGATGGTCCATTCGTAACTGGAAAAGCGGCCGTCGTCAAAGACTTTCGTCCACAACCTCACGAAGACGTCGGTGTTGAGCGCCGTAAACCAGATGCCTCCTCGCTGCACCTCTAGAGACCCAGGGATCGCCTCAGTCGCGACATGTGGGTCTTCCCGCAAGACAAATTCAGTGTTGCTGAATACAGTGTAGGCGTTGCAACTGAACATGCCGACCTCCTGGTCAAGCTGCGCTCTTGTGAGCTTCGCCTCCTTCGACTCCGGCCTTATGAGCGAGATGCAATAGAAAGAAGCGTCTGGTCTACTTGCGAAGTCGACTAGCTCCCCAGAAGCCAAGCCTTCAGCCGGGTCAGGGGTAGGCGCTGGGGTAGGCTCTGGCGTCTGTGCGGGGCACCAGAAGGCGGTCTGGCCACAGCCCTGGCAATTCTCTGCGGATTCGCCGCACCACGAAGAATCCGCCGACCCCTTGGGGCTCATCGGCGTGTGAGATGCTTCCCCCTCCCCAAACCCCTCTCCCGGGAGCCGGATCCGGTCGATTTGGAGGGGGGGGTCTACCCGGGCCGGCCAGGGGGGGTACTTTGCTCCAGCAATTCTGCCAGGGTGGCATCGACGGCCTCAGAACGGGCCAGGAGGACCCCAAGACATCTCTAAGACGGTCCAAGAAGGCCCCGAGCCGCAGAATCAATGATCCGATTGGCCTCCCGATAGTCCAAGAGGCCCTCAAGAGGCCCCAAAAAGCTCCAAGAGGCGCCCCAAGAGGGCCTCTGGAAGCAAACATCGTCCTATTCTCTTCGGGAGACATACGTTTTTAGCACTTTCACCTCTGGGGCGTTCACAACGTCCTAGACGGCCCGAGAGGCCGTGAAGATCGCCCCATGACGGGCCACAAAGCCTCCAAGAGGGCTCTAAGACGACTCAAGAGGGCCCCAAGACGGCCCAAGAAGCCCCCAAGACGGCCATGGAGGGCTCCAAGACAGCCCCAAGAGGGGAAACGGAGAGGGGAAACGGAGGGGGAACCCGAACGGACATATTTCGAGTCATCCACCCCAAGACGCCTCCGGGACGCCCCAAGGAGCCCCGGGAGCCCCAATATGGCCGCAACAAGTCTACATGAGGCCCCCAGGAGGCCCCCAAGAGGTTCAAGCACTGCGTCCAAGACGCCCCCGAGACGCCTCCCACAAGACGGCATGAACCATCCGAGCGGCCTCAGACCCGCAGACCAGGCATGGTGGCGGGTTGTGCCAACGGCCGTTCGATATTCATTCGTCGGGTGTTTTGACAGATGCCCTCCGTCTGTGTACGTGAGCTCTCTGAGGGGCCATAGGACACACAAATCAATAGAAACAAATAACAGGATTCTCTATATTGTCCCATATCTTCTCGGTTTTTGTCTCCCCCCCACTTTCCATATGTTCCCACCATTTCCTGGGAATCGCAAATGAATTGTGTCTGTGTGTTTTTTCCCCTCCTGATTCCCGCCCGCTTCTTCACGCGTGGACCAAAACTTGCCAAGACAAGGACAGGTACAGGCGCCTGTGTAGGTTGTGCTAGCTACGTCGGATGCGACCACGTGGCACGATTCACAAGACATCAACAGAAGAACAAGGATTAGGTCGGGCGTGTCCCCCTACAGGGTGATTTTGAACGAAAAATTAAAAGTAGTTTTAAAATACCCCAAATTGGTCAAACAAAAATCAAACAATAATTCGCAGACCATTGTTTGACTATTTTTGAATATTCCTCCTGTAGAGGGACACGCCCGACTGAAGCCCAAGCGGGAACGAAGGGCACGAGAAGGACGCCTGGGGGGCCGAACCGTCAGCGCGGCAGCAGCCGAGGAAAGGTGGCAGGGGGCAGAGGACCACGACAGTAGTGACGGGAGGAGACCGAAGAGTGTTGCGTTTGTCGGTCGTGCGCTAAAGATGCAGCGTTGCCTGCGCCATGCCGCCGCGGCACTCGAACAAAGTGCTACGCCTGCTGACTTACTTAGTGCAAGATCCGCGGAAACGCCGCCGCGGCAGCACGTGCCAGACCTCATTCCCCGGTTCCTCCTCCTCCTCCTCCTCCTCCTCCTCCTCCTGTACTTCCACCTCGTCTTCCCCTTCCTCCTCTTCCGCCTCCTCCTCCTCCTCCTCCTCCTCCTCCTCCTCCTCCTCCGTTCCTTTTCCGCCACCTCTGGACCCCTGAACATGGCGAGGTCTCACCTGAATCTGAGTGAGACGTCACTCCGCTCGGCCCCCAAGCAGCCTTCGAAAGTGGCGACAGCTTCGTACATCGCAGCCCCACCAGGACGGCGAGGTCTCCTGGTGGTCTGGGTGAGACGTCACTCCGCTGGACCCCTCAGCAGCCCTCGAAAGTGGCTACATTCTCGCAGATCGCAGCCCCACAAGGATGGCGAGGTCGTCTGGTGGTGGTTTGGGAAAGACGTCACTCCGCTGCATCCCCCAGCAGCCCTCGAAAGTGGCGACAGTTTCGCAGATCGCAACCCAACAGGGCTGGCAAGGTCTCCTGGTGGTCCGCGTAAGACGTCACTCCGCTGGACCCCCAGCAGCCCTCGAAAGCGACGACGGTTGCGCAGATCGCAGACACACAGGGATGGCGAGTTCTCCTGCTGGTCTGGGTAAGGCGTCACCCCGCTGAACCCCCCAGCAGCCCTCGAAAGTGGCGACGGTTGCGCAGATCGCAGCTCCCAGGGATGGCGAGGTCAAGACGTCACTCCGCTGGACCCCCCAGCAGCCCTCGAATGTGGCGACAGCTTCGTATATCACAGCCCCACATGGATGGCGAGGTCTCCTGGTGGTCCGCGTAAGACGTCACTCCTTTGGACCCCTCAGCAGCCCTGATCGCAGCCCCACAGGGATGGGGAGGTCTCCTGGTGGCCTGGGTAAGACGTCGCTCCGATGGACCCCCCTCCAGCAGCCCTCGAAAGTGGCGACGGTTGCGCAGATCGCATCCCCCAGGGATGGCCGGGTAGGAGTCAAGCTGGCACGCAGGAAGGAGCGAGGCGAGAGGCATGAGAGAAGAGGAGAGGAGGAGGGGGGCGGGAGACGGCGTAGACGCGCGGGCAGTGTTCAATCCAAAACGAATGCCCAACGCAGGGGGGTGGAAAAAACTGCCTCCCATGAGACCACATCAGCCATCCGAGTGGCCTCAAACCCGCAACCCAAGTACGATGGCGGGAAGTGCCGAAAGCCATTCGATGATCATTCGTCGGGTGTTTGACAGATGCCCTCCGTCTATACACGCGGGTTCTCACCCCATTTTTCATGCGTGCACGGCGAATCCTGAAAATGTCAGCCCAAGAGGCTCCGACAAGGCCTCCAGGACCCCCCCGAAGGAGCTCCAATAAGCCCCCAAAAGGCGCACAAGAGGCCCTCAGGAGCAACACGCAACAATCGCCAATTCCCCAAGGGGTCGGCGGTGTGGCGTAAACCCAAGAATCCAGGTTCACCGCCCCGTCCCAGCAAGAGCCGCATGCGTCGCCGGCGTCCATCGCGGCCAAGCAACAATACTGTCTGCCCGCGAGCTTCATCTCCTCCGCAACCTGCCCTGCGGACATGCGCATTCGACGCAGCAGTGTCGCGGGCAGCGTCGTCTGGATGGCCAGCGCCAGCAACAGCAGCCCGAGCGCTACAAGTGCGGGGCCCCTGCACCTGCAGGACCTCAACGCGCTCAAGCTAACCCCCGCTCCATGCCGATCCGAGGCCCGACCTGGATCCCGATCCACTTCGCGCCCGACCCGGCGCGGTCCATCTCAAACCGGTCAGCATCGCAGTCATCGACGACCCGATCAGTCGCTGCGACCGCGATCGACAGTGGATCGAGAGAGGAACCTCCAGACATCCGACGTCAAGGCCTGTGTTCGTGACGCAATGACCATTTGACCCCATCCCGAGGAAAATTTGTTCACATGGCGTAGCTTTTCGCAGGAAATGGGATCCGGGGCAAGCCCCTACGGCGCAACTTCTGGCCGGCTCGGCCTGTCTCGTTCCACAGCGAGGTAAAGCAGGGGCCCCACCACAAGAAACCTTCCACCAAAAAAAACAGCCCTGAGACCCCAGGGCGTCCATTGATTTTCCGGGTGGGAGCGTCACGCTTCCCATCGCAAAACCGTCGAAACCCGAGAAACGCAGACGGCCCCCTGGAGGCACGCAGGGCGTTGCCTGGCACGGGTCTCCACTGTAGGACCCCTTCGCGGCGCTCCAGATTCCAATCTCGCACGATCACGAGGGGGGAGGAGGAGAAGAAAGAGGAGGAGGAGGGAGGAGGAGGAGGAAGAGGAGGAGGAGGAGGAGGACGAGGAGGAGCAGGAGGAGGAGGAGGGGGGGGGCCTGCGCTGGGTGGGCCCCGAGAAAAAATGTTATCAAAAGGAGGACCCCGGGCCCGTCTCTCTCTCTCTCTCTCTCTCTCGCTCCTCCTCCTCCTCCTCCTCCTCCTCCTCCTCCTCCTCCTCCCTCCTCCTCCTCCTGCCTCCTCCTGCCTCCTCCTGCCTCCTCCTCCCTTCTCCTCCCTTGTCCTCTCTCTTTCTCTCTCTCTCTCTCTCTCTTTCCCCCCTTTCTGCTGGCCCGAGGCAAGCAGGGTGTTTTTTTTGGCACGGGCTTCCACGGCATGGGGAGGGCGACAGCAATCAGCTTCTGTGCCAGTCCTGCGGCGCGGTCCCGCCAGCAAATGTCCCCCTTGCAGGCGGATCTGGGGCGCAAGAATTACGCTACCGAGGAACCCACCATACTTATTCTATGCCTTGCGTGACCTCCTCCCTCCTCCTCCTCCTCCTCCTCCTCCTCCTCCTCCTCCTCCTCCTCCTCCTCCTCCTCCCTCCTCCTCCGCCTCCCTCCTCTTCCTTCCTCCTCCTCCTTTTCCTTCCTCCTTCTCCTCTTCTCCTCCTCCCTTCGGCGCGGCAAGAGAAGATGGGGTCACCGAAGGCAGTTTGTTGAAACGGGGCGTGGAGAAAGCGTTTGCAGGTAAAAAGCATCAAGAAGAACCCTTGGACGGAAAGTCTCCGGGAGCGCCCTTCGATGGAAAATCTCTGGGCGGCGGCAACCAAAATGACGTCGCCTGCGCCGAACACCTCGCTCACCTGGAACGGCGGGGCGCTGGCGCCGACGCTTCGATATTTCATCGACGCAGCCAATGCCGTTATGAAAGATTGCTGCACTCGCGTGAACCATTCAATCATTTTTTCCGTTCCCTCTGACCTTTTTCCCGCTCCTCCAGACGGTATCTTCCGCGAACATGAAATATTGAATGTGTCGGCAAAGTAGCGCCAGTTTCGCATGGTCGCTCCACGTAGTCTGGAGACTAAGCTGAATTTTCGAGTTTTGGTGAGCGAGCAGCAACTTCGCGCTGAGCAACGGAGTCCACTTGCAAGCGCACGCCTCATACCAGAGCGGCTCTGGGTCAACACTTGGGCGATCATTGACCAAAGGCGCATGGGGCAAATGAAGCCAACTGTTCCTTGCGCTTTGAGGAAGTGGAACGCCTGCCACACCAGCGCACCACCTGTGGCGTCGAGGAAACGCCACGCCTGCCACACCAACGCACCCCCTGTAGCGTCGAGGAAGTGTCACGCCTGCCACGCCTTGCAAAGCCGAAGCGCACAGCGACCGCACCCCCAGCGCACCCCCTGTGGCGTCGACGCCACGCCTGCCACGCTTTGCGAGCCCGAAACGCATAGCGACCGCAACCCCAGCGCACCCCCTGTGGCGTCGAGAAAGTGTCACGCCTGCCACGCGTTGCGAGGCCGAAACGCATAGCGACCGCACCCCCAGCGCACCCCCTGTGGCGTCGAGGACGTGCCACGCCTGCCACGCTTTGCGAAGCCGAAACGGATAGCGACCGCACCCCCAGCGCACCCCCTGTGGCGTCGAGAAGGTGTCACGTCTGCCACGGTTTGCGAAGCCGAAGCGCATAGCGACCGCACCCCCAGCGCACCCCCTGTGGCATCGAGAAAACGCCACGACTGCCACGCTTTGCGAGCCCGAAACGCATAGCGACCGCACCCCCAGCGCACCCCCGGTGGCGTCGAGGAAGTGTCACGCCTGCCACGCGTTGCGAGCCCGAAATGGATAGCGACCGCACCCCCAACGCACCCCTTGTGGCGTCGCGAAGCCACGCCTGCCACGCCTTGCGAGGCCGAAACAAATAGCCACTGCACCCCCAGCGCACCCCCTGTGGCGTCGAGGAAATGTCACACGGGAGGGACGCGGGATGGGACGAGGGAGGGAAGAGAACCATAACCCCACCAAACATGTGCGGAATGCCTCACGAAACATGTGGGGAACAACACGTATTGGGTACCAGGCTGGATGTGGACGTGTGCTTTTTGTGGGTGCCCAGTATGTTATGCATACGTCTTGGGTGCACGATGCAGTGAACAAGCAGGGCGTGCACAGGCGTTGTATGGTGTGTGAGTGTATGCGAGTGTGTGCATGCGAGGGGCTGTATGTACACGCGTGTCGCATGCACATGATGTGCATGTGTTGCGCGTGGGTGAGGGAAGAAGGACGAGAATGGGGAGGTGAGTGAGACGCGGGTGCGACGCGGCGTGAAAGAAAAACATAACCCCACGAAACATGTGGGGGGAAACATATACTTTTAAAACTGCTCCAAAATTGTCGACAATGGTCCAAAACATCGCCCCCATACGATTTTTGAACACTACTTTGGAATATCCCCCCTGTAGAGGGGCAGGCCCGACTGAACGCCAGCATCCCGAGCTGGCTCCACGGCCCCGGCGGCGGAAGGGGCCCCGCGGGGCCCCCGCGCGACTGCAGGGAGCCTCCACCCGCGGCCCGGAGGCCCCAAAACCCTCGTGCGCGAGGTCGCAGCGTGAAAAGTCTGCTCCTTCGTCGGGGGCGCGCAACTGAAGGGGCCCCAGGACACACAAATAAATACACACAAATAAAACTATTCCCCATATTTGCCCATATTTTCTGGGTTTCTCTCCCCCCCCAATTCCCATAGTTTCCCATGTATTCTGGGGGATCGAGGATTAATTGTGTCTGTGTTTTTTCCTCTCCTGAGCAAACACGGATTAGCGATCCATGGATCTGGCGCGCGGTCGCCAAGTCCACGGATCGGGGGAGGTGCCCTCCCCAGAATACCGCCGGTGCCGCCTCGCTCGGCGGCGGCAATCCGGGATGTCCCACGGAAACGGGACCCGTCGCGAAGCCACGTCCTTTTGATCCATGTTTTCGATCGCCTGATGTCGGCGTTTCGACATTGGGCGGAAAGAAGAGGGCAAAAAGTCCACCCTCATAATAACCACCCCGACACGCGAAGCCGTTTGCTAAACGCCCCCGCTGCAAGAATCGAGCAGGGCAGGGCTGTGTGGTAACCGCCCAAGGCCATTTTGTACGGGCCAGCTGTTCGGTCCGGGTGGTTTTTCCTCCCTTGAGAACGGGGGGGAGGGGGGGGGTCTGGCTTCGGACCTCTGATTCGCGCCACTGTCTGCAACCGTGCGTCCTATGGGGGAATCCGCGCCTGCTCGAAACAGGCGCCCCAAACAGCCATGCCCTACGCTATGGGGGAGGGGGGGAGGGGGGGAGGCGAGGGCCCGCGCCGATCCGCCAAACAATGAATAAGGAAACGATCACAACTGAGGAGACAACCGTAGTCTCGGTCTTTTTAGCGACGAGGACGCCAGAGACGGCGGTCCGAAGCTGCATATGCAGGAACTGAGTGCCGAGACAGGGTCCTGAACCCCGGGGCGTTCCCCTGTGGGCCCAGTTCTTTGTCCTGGGTATACTTGTTTGACAGTCCGCGGGGCCCAGGAACGCGGCCATCCAGATGCCGAAACGGCGAAAGACATCGGTACCCTGGGGGGCACAAAAAGTTACAGCCAACCCGTAGAATAAGGATGCGCGATAAGGATGCAAGGGCTTTGGAGCCCCATTTCGAAGCATTTCGAGCGGGGCCCAGCCAACGAAAGTGGCGAAGGATGGACCGAGGAGGCAAGGATGCAAGGAAACCCCTGGGAAGGTTGCCCATCCTTCCTATGCGGGTTGACCGTATCGATACCGCAACTCCCCTGACCTCTCTAGGGGCGCGTTCTGACCAGGATCTCGCGGCAAATCCAGCCATGGCGACAAGGGACGGGCAGCGGCAACAGTATCTCTTCCTCCTCGGTTCTGGCCGCTCCCCTCGGCACACGCTTGCCGCGTGGCAGCATGTTGTTCCAATTTTCTGTTGCGCTTTTGCTGCGCGTGCTCTTGATTTTTGTTGTGCGTTTTGCACCGCTTCCTTCCTAACTGGGCAAACGAACCCTTGTTCCCCAAATTGGCTTGCCGGTGAGGTTCTTACTTGGTTGAAGGTTGCTGCCTCTTATTGTTACTTTACCCGTTCTTGGGAAGCTCCTCGGGTTCCCTTCTTCTGGTTCCTCGCCCCCGGTGCCCCGTTTGTTACGTTGCCCGTTTACTGGAGGTTCCTCGGGTTCCCCGGGTTCCTCGGGTTCCCCGCCCCTGGTGATTCCTATTGTTACGTTGCCCGTTCCTCGTTCCTCGGGTTCCCCGCCGTCAACACACCTGATTAAGCAGTTGCGCGGGCGCGCCGGGTTCATTTCGTCGAGTTCGCTTCAGGTTCATTTTCAAAAGGACATCCCCTCATTGGGGTCGCGCTGGGCTCATCGTTTCAAGGAGACCACAGCTACAGCCAGCCCGCATCATCAGGATGCGCGGAAAGCATGCAGAGGCCTTGGGGGCCCAGGTTGACGTTTTTTTTTTTCCGAAACGAGGCGGGCCAGCGAAAGTTGCTAAGGATGGGCCCCAGGGGGCACGGATGCAAAGATACCCTTGGGAAAGTTGCCCGTCCTTGCTATGCAGGTTGACTGTGCCATCTGGGCGCGGCCGCAAGAAACCCGCGCAAGGAACCCAACCTGAAACCCGCGCGCGAAGTGCACCTGAGGGGAAGCCCGGAGCACCCCGAACGCAGCAGCTTCTGTCTGTCGGCCGCGGGAAGTCACCGCGCGGCGCGCGGAGCGAAGAAGCCCAGGACACCCCGACGAAGTGCACATGGCCTCTCTTGCTGCGCGCCCCCTCCGCATGAGACCTGCGATCGAGCTCGGGGCCGGCAGATCGAGGGCGTATACACCGAGCAGTGGGCGACCACTCGGGCTTCGCCCTCGGCGAGCCATCCGCGGCTGGCGCGGGGGGCTGGCCGGAGGGCTCCGAAGGGTGGGGCGGGCCGAGGGAGTCGGCCAGGCCCCCCTTCGCCCGACACCCTCTTCGAGGGGCCTGCTCCTCCTCCTCCTCCTCCCCTGCCTCCTGCCTCCTGCCTCCCTGCTCCTCCCTCCCTGCTCCTCCCCCTCGGCCGCCTCACACCCCCGCCTCCACGTCCACTTCCGCCGCCTCCTCCTCCTCAGCCCCACTCCTCCGCACCCTCCACCTCCCCCTCCCCCCTCCTGCCCGCTCACGCTCATCTCGCTCCTCCTCCCCCTCTGCCTCCTCCGACCCCCTCTCCACGACCCCAGGGGGCGGCCCAGGGGGCGATTGATTGTGACAGCCTGGTGGGGGCCCAGGGATATCCACATCCACTGCCTCCTGGGGTCCTGGGCGATCGGCTCACCTGGGCAGTCGACATGTGCAATTTCTCCTCCTGCCCCTTCCCCCCCTCCTCCTGCCCCTTCCCCCCCCTCCTCCCCGGAGGCCTCCTCCTCCTAATTCCTGTTGGCCATGTGGTCGTTCAGGCGAAGCCTCCCCCCCGGGTGCTGTCGGACCTGGGAGGTGAGGCACGCGGAACGAGGTGACGACTGGGGTGCCTGGCTGCGGCGTGCTGCGGCGCTCGGCGGGCCTGGTGGTCGAAGGAGGGGTTACCTGGAGGCGGGGGAGACGAGGACGAAGAGGGGAACAGGAAGACAGGCGGGAGACCGGAGCAATGAAGGACCGCCCAAGCCCCCGAGCACAGGCAACCCGTAAAGTAAGGACGCGCGATAACGATGCAAGGGCCTTGGAAGGCCATGTCGACACTTTTCGAGTGGGGCTGGCCAGCGAGAGTTGCCAGGGAGGGGCCGAAGAGGCAAGGATACAAGGGTAACCTTGGGAAGGTTGCTCATCGTTACCACGCGGGTTCGGGTTGACTGTA